TCTCCCCGGCCGGGTCCCTGTGGTAGAAGGCAGCGGCGGTGAGGACCATGGAGAGGTCGTTGGTCCACTTGGAAGTGTAACCCCAGCGCCTCTGCTCGGGGTCCCAGAAGTGGCTCCGCTCGGGGAAGCCCACGATGCGCTCGGGGAAGCTGCGCCAGACCACGAAGGCAAAATCCACCTGGCGTGGGACAGGGGACAGTGTCACTGGGCTGCAGGGACCCGTGGGAGGCAGCCCATGGCCACCCCTGCCTTCCCCAGAGGTGTGTCTGGGGACAGTGGGCACAACTCCCTGCCAGCCCCATGGCGACCACTGAGCCTCCTTCTTGGCTCAGCACAGGGCTTGCCCCAGCTCCATGGGGCTGGGATCATGGTGCCCACGGTCTCACCTCGCTGGTGGAGAGGCTGCTGTCCTCATCCAGGCTCAGCACAGCGTCCGTCTGGATGGCCGCGTAGGGGAAGAAGCGGTCGCTGAGCTACAGGGGTGGGTGGGGGATAGAAAATCAGGTTGGGATTTGCCACGGGGTTGGGTGCCCCAGCTCCCTGCCTGCATCCCAGCTCCTCTCACCTTCCCTCTGCCCTGGATGATGGTCAGAGGCACGGTGGTCTGGGGCCATCTCCCACTTGGTGGTGGTGGCTTCTCACAGCTCCACAGCACCAGGATCTGCAGGAGGGCAGGACCAGCGTGTCCAGGGAGGCCTGGCTGGGCTGCCCCATCCCCAGGGTACATTGTTCACAGGGTGGCCAGAGCTGCTGCCCCCTCAAACCCCATAGCAGGACCTGCTCCAGCCCAGCTCACCCCAAAACCATCTCATGGTAGTTTGGACCACAACAAACCCACGGGTGATCCCCCCTGCACAGTGGACTCATCTCCCCCACCTGGGCACAATACTGGGATGCAGAGACAGCCTGGATGAGCCTGAGGATGGGCTGGGAGGGGGATCCCACCGGGGAAACAGCCTGGATTAAAGCTGTGAACTTCTCAGAGGGGCTGGAGCCTGGAAAAGCAGAGGGACAGGGTAAGTGTTGTGGCATGCGCTGAGTTTGCCGTGCTCAGCCAGGGGACAGGGGTCCTACCGAGCTGCAGGTAGTAGAAGGGAAAGTCCCCGGGGTGGGTGGAGAACTCGGGCAGGACCAGGAGCCCCCCGGGCAGCGTGTTCCAGAGGAAGCGGGAGCGGTGCGGGAACAGCCGGTCCTTGATGATCTGCCAGAGGCCGAGGAGATGCTCTCAGCGCCCTCCAGCCGTGAGCCCGGGGGCTGGGGGAGTATCGGGGGCTGGGGAGGGTCGGGGGGTGCTCACCTCCAGCGTGGTGTGCACGATCTTGTCGACAGAGGAGAAGTAAGCGTCCCACAGGAACTGGGTCTGCTGCTGGAAAGCCAGCACGCGCTCCGGGGGGATGCAGCGGACGATGGAGGGGATCTGTGTTGGGGGGAGCTGGGTTCTCACCTTGTCCCCCCCCTGGCAGGGCTGCCTTGCCTCCCTGACTGCAATGCCATCCCAAGGGACACCCCCTGGCCAAGGATACTGTGCCACTTCCCTCTCCCTGGAGCAGGATCTGCCCCAGGACCCCACATGGGCTTTGGATCCGGGGAAACGCTCAGCACCCCTCCCGGGACAGATGATGCTCTCAGGGCTGCAGCTGGGATGGGACCCCTCCCGACTTCAGGCTGGATGAGAGGTTGCATCCACCCACGGGAGGGAAGTTTCACAGCCCTGGTGCTGTTCCCCAAGGTGGTAGAACCCGGGGAGGGGGTCTGTGTGCCCGGGGCGGGGGGGGGGGGGAGGATGTGCCCACTGTACCTGCAGCAGCAGCCTCTCGTTGCCCAGCACAGCAGCTTTGCCCCAGTCAATGGCCTCGGCGAAGGGCAGCTCCCAACCATCACTGAGCAGCACCGGGATGCAGGCAGCCTGGGGAGGGACCCCCACACAGCCTGGGATGGAGCCCCTGCGCCCCGGGGTGAGGGTCTCCCTGTCCACTGGCCCCCCTCCCACCCTACCTCATACCTGCAGTGCCTCCAGGAAGCGGAAGGAGCCCAAGCGCCGGCCCCGGGGAACGATGCAGAAGGTGGAATTGTGCAGCAGCTCCTGGTAGTCAAACCTGGGGTGGGACATGATTGGGGGGGTGGGAGGGGACTTGTCAGGCACAGCCCACCCCCCCAATC